AGTAGACCACGGCCAAAGAGCGTGGATCCAGCGGAGGCCCGGAACACCACGACGCGGGAACCATCGAGGAGCCGCAACGAAGAGGGGCGGGAAGTTCCCGAGGCGCAGGCCGGGAGGCAGTCGCGCATACTATACGCGAACGTAGCCAAACAGGTGAGGGAATGGTCGTTCCGTTTCGATGGGACGGCGAAGCCCCTGGAGTTTCTGGAGCAGGTCGAATGGTCGGCCGATATGTACGGGCTGGACGTGAATCTGATTCCCAGAGCGATGTCAGAATTGCTGAAGGGCCGGGCATTGATGTGGTTCATCGCCAATAATCGGCAGTGGCACACGTGGGAAGCCTTCGCAACAAGCTTCCAGGCCTACTTCTTGCCGAGGGGGCTCGAGAAGTTGCTCCAAGAGGTACGACAAAGGAAGCAAAAATGGGGAGAGCCATTCAAGGACTACATGGTGGACATGCAGACCCTCATGAGACCCCTCAAATGTACTCCCGAGGAGCAGATGGAGCTCATCCGCGAGAATAGCATGCCAGACCTGCGTATATTCATCAGGCCACATAGGTGCAAGGACCTGGACCACATGATGATGCTAGCGGATGAGTTCGAGGCTCTGGAGAGGGATCGCGTAGAGTTCCAGAAGGAGAGTCCAGCGGGAAGAGCGAAGGCGGCAAATCCCTTCTCGAAGTCGGCCGTGACTGAAATATGCCGGAGGTGCAAGGACGAGCCGGCCGCCGTAGCGGGACAAACAAAAGCGAAAGTGGAGGCACCGGCGGCGGAGGACCAGACACATTCCAATATAGAGGGGGGATACGTTAAGAATCCCGCCCAAGCATGCCGACGATGCGGAAGTGACGAGCACTGGTCACAGGCATGTCAAGGGCGCGCGTTGACATTCTGCTGGAGGTGTGGAAAGGTCGGCGTAACGACATGGCAGTGCTGCAAAAAGTCGGGAAACGCCCCGCGACCCAAGCCGAGGAGGGCCGTGCCGGGGTCGCAGGCTGCAGCCCCCGAAACCTAATCGGTGAACTCACCGTGGAGGATGTGCAGCTGTCAGCCGTGGTGGACATCGCAGGGAGGAAATGGAAGGCCACGGTCGACACAGGGGCCACTAGCAGCTTTGTCAGCTGGGAGCTGGCGGAACAGCTGCAAGGGGAGGGGCGCGAGGAGAAAACCGACAAGCAGGTGCGGTTGGCCGATGGACGCCGTCGAACCATCGATAATGGAACTGGCGAAGTGGAACTGGCGTTCGGAGACAAAGTGGTCTCAATGGCGCTTCTGGTGCTGCCAGGAGTCATCGATGCGCTGGTACTAGGCTGGGATTTCATTGCCGCAGTCGGAGCAGAGGTGACCTGTGCGGGGCACAGGGTCGCGATCCCTGCGAGAGGCCGACGGAAAGGGCGGTTGGAAGAAAGGCTGTCGGTGGCAGTAGTGGAGGCCAATGAGGAGTCCCCGGAACGAATGGCGGATGAGGACTCCGAGGCCGAGTATCCCACGGGAAGCAGGCGCCGCGACAGTGCAGAGGAAGGCCCGTTCGAAGAATTTCTGGCCAAGGAATTGGAGGAATTCAAGAGGATGAAAGGGGTATCGAACGTGGGGGTGCATACGATCACAATGAGCGATGCGATACCGGTTAAGCAGCGATACTACCCTAAGAACCCAAAGATGCAGGCGGAGATCAACCAAAAGGTAGACAAGCTGCTGGAAATGGGGTGTATCGAGCCATCGAAGAGCCCTTATAGTTCCCCCATCGTAATGGTTAAAAAGAAAACTGGTCAGTGGAGGTTGTGCGTGGACTTCCGACAAATCAATGCAAAGTCTATCAAGGACGCATACCCAATGCCGCGGATTGACTACATCTTAGATCAGCTGAGGGAAGCACGGTTCATCAGTAGCTTGGATTTGAAGGACGGGTATTGGCAAATACCACTGGAAAAGGATAGCCGGAAGTTCACAGCCTTCACGGTGCCAGGCAAGGGATTGTTCCAATGGAAAGTGATGCCGTTCGGGCTACATTCGGCCTCGGCCACGTTTCAGAGGGCGTTGGACCAGGTTATTGGTCCGGAAATGATGCCGCATGCTTTCGCATACCAAGACGATATCATCGTTATAGGCCAAACGAAAGAGGAGCACCAACGTAATCTGGAGGAGGTTTTCCGACGCTTAAAAAGGGCCAACTTAAGGTTGAATGTGGAAAAATGCCAGTTCGGCCGAAGGGAGCTGCGGTACCTGGGTCATTTGGTGACGGGAGAAGGCATCTGCACTGATCCGGAAAAGGTGGCCGCCATCGCAGAGCTGAAGCCACCGGCGAACGTGAAAGAGCTTCGCCAGTACCTGGGCGTCGCCTCATGGTACCGACGATTCGTGCCAGAATTCGCCACCATGGTACAGCCGCTCAGCACATTGCTGAAGAAAAAGGTGAAGTGGGAATGGGCATCAGAGCAACAACAGGCATTTGAGTCCGTGAAGGGTCGGCTGGTAGCCGATCCGGTGCTAACTTGCCCGGATTTCTCGAAGAAGTTTGTGCTACAGACGGACGCCAGCGACTATGGATTGGGAGCGATTCTCACCCAAGAAACGGAGAAGGGCGAAAGGGTGATCTCATACGCCAGCCGAACGCTGAACAGTGCGGAGAAGAATTACTCGGCTACAGAGAAGGAATGCCTGGCAATTGTGTGGGCCATCAGGAAGCTCAAACCCTATTTGGAAGGGTATCACTTCAAGGTGGTCACCGACCACATGGCATTGAAATGGCTCAACAGCATAGAGAGCCCGACGGGGAGAATCGCAAGATGGGCGCTAGAGTTACAGCAATACGACTTCGAAATAGCGTATAGGAAGGGGAAGCAGAACGTGGTGGCTGACGCGCTATCTCGACAGCCCATGGAAGAGCGATGTATGCAAGCGGAGGACGTTGGACAGGAGCCCGAAGAGCAATGCTCATGGATAAAGAAGGTCAAGGAGAAGATGAGAAGGGAGCCGGCCAAGTTCCCAGATTATGTGGAGGAGGCAGGCGGGGTGTACCGGCATATCCCGCACCGGGCCGGCGACGAAGAAGTAGTAGCTTGGAAGCTTTGCGTGCCGAAGGATCGGCGGGAGCGGGTCATGAGGGAGAACCACGATATCCCGGAGGCGGGTCACGCCGGCGGCAGGAAGATGATGGCAAGGATAGCTGCCAGGTACTACTGGCCGGGGATGCACCGAGACGTGAGGACGTATGTCAGGAAATGTGACACCTGCATGCGTTTCAAACCAAGTCAGGCACAGGCGGCCGGGAAGATGCTGACACAAGTACCAGAGAAACCATGGGCGACGGTGTGCGCGGATTTTGTGGGACCATTGCCCAGATCATAACACGGCAACGCCATGCTGTTGGTGCTGGTGGACCGGTTTTCGAAATGGACCGAGCTGGTGCCAATGAGAAAGGCCACGGCAGAAGCCCTGATAAAGGCTTTCAGAGGAAGAATATTGGGCCGGTTCGGCGTACCCAAGGTGATGATCACCGACAATGGGGTACAATTCACCAGTCGGGCGTTTAAAAAGTTTCTGGATCAGATGGGAGTTCGACACCAGTTTACGGCACCGTACACGCCGCAAGAAAACCCGACGGAACGCACCAACAGAACGGTGAAAACCATGATCGCGCAGTTCACCGAAGGGGACCAGAAATGCTGGGACGAGAAGTGGCCCGAGTTAATGCTGGCCGTGAACTCTGGGGTCACTGAGTCCACTGGATTCGCACCAGCATTCATAGTGCAAGGGAGAGAGCCCAGGCTGCCGAAGGCGTTGTACGATGAGGAAACACTCGGCACGGGTCAGGAGACAAACACTCCGGACGAACACGCGGTAAAGCTGAAAGAACTTTTTCAGCTGGTGAGGCGGAATTTGGAAAGAGCAGCCCAGGATCAGGCAAGATATTACAACTTGCGAAAGAGAGCTTGGAAGCCCAAGGTCGGTGAAAAGGTGTGGGTTAAACAGCACCACCTGTCTAACGCAGCCGAGGGGTTCGCAGCAAAATTGGCCCCAAAGTATGCCGGTCCCTACCAGATCACTGATTTCGTATCACCGGTGATATGCAAGCTGCGTAGAGACAGCGATAGGCATACACGGACGGCACATGTTGGGGATCTGAAGCCACAGGCAAACGACGAAGGAAAATAAGGAATCAGAAACGGGCGGAGCGATCCAGAAGCCGAAGGCGTTCGGCTGACCGAGACCCGGGCGGAGAGATACCCTCGTGGGTCCAGTGAAGTGGGAGTGATAATCCGGGTCCTGGGGTCCAGTGTGCCTGGGTCATCTACAACCGTCGGGCTTGGCCGGGCAGAAGACACTACCCACGCGTTGCTGACGGGCGAGGAGTCGGATGATCCTCGGGTCCGAAGCAGCTGCATGGGGCAGAGGTCACGCCAAAGGTCAAGCCGAAGGCGGCAATGAGGTGACGAGCCAGGGCCGATCGTCATATGGCAGCCGGGCGAAAGGTCGGAGGACCTGTTAGTCAGGGGCAGGTATGACGATTGGCATCACGGATCAAGGATGCAAGATGGGCTGGAGAAGAAGCCAGAGTCATTAAAGGATAGCGCACATTCACAGTACTCACATGGGCCGAAGGGGGGGGCGATCAGTTCGGTGGAGAGGGGAAGCCGGGCGGCAAGGCCTAAGAAAAAAAAAGGAAAAAAAAAGAATATAATAAATGTGAAAAGGAAAATATATATATTTAAAGTTTCTTCAAACAATAGGGGGTGGGATCAGGTATGATCGGGTGCGAGCAGACCCCCACCGGCCGCGGAAGGGTTAACGCGGCGAAGAGCCCAGTGCTGAGAGGCAGGAACCTTCGAGAGAGCGGGAGAAGGAATGCCCAACTACCGTACGACGGAACGACGGGAAAAGCAGCAAGGGCTCGACGGCGGCAGAGGCTGGAGCTGTCGATCAGTCACGAGCCAGAGGTAGACACAAACGCAAGCGCGGATTTTAAAAGAGAGAAAAAAAAAAGGGAAGAAAATCGCCATGTTGGAATTTTACTTGGAGGAACAAGCCAGAAGTGCGGGGAGCCGCAGTCCCGAGATCCAGCGCCAGCGACGGGCGGAGCCCTCGCGAGGTGAGCGATGCGATCGGCGGAGCGAGACTCCAGAGTTGGAGCTCATGGCGTCCCCATTCACAAGCCCCATGGCATCCCCAAGGAGCGAGTGGTCCTCGTGGGCGTCTCCTCGAAGAAGACGGGAGCCGGAAGTGTCGCCAGGAGCAACGGAGGAGGAGGACAGCGACGACAGCGACGTGGTGGTGGTCTCCGTCGAGCCGGCTCCGAGGAGAGCCGAGCTCCTGAGATTGCAGCTCAACGACGAGGAGAAGCGGGCACGGGAGCAGGAGCTGCGACGCGACGCAGCGTTCCTCGGCATCGCCATCCGATCGGCGGAGCGCTATTTGCGTGAGCAGAAGCGCGAAACTGCAGGGCAACGGGAGCCGAAGCAGCCGATGAAAACCAGGCCGCCAGCGACGCCATCGCAGCCGACGTCAAGGCCAGCAGCAGCGCAGCAGGGACGGACGGCGGAGGTACCGTTGCAACGGAGAGCGCAGGCCTCAGCACACCCGACAGCGAGGCCAGCAGCGCAGCCGCCAGCGACGCCAGCAGCGCAGCCGCCAGCGACGCCAGCAGCGCAGCCACCAGCGACGCCAGCAGCGCAGCCACCAGCGACGCCAGCAGCACAGCCGGCAGCGACACCAGCAGCGCGGCCACCAGCCGAGACCGTGCGGAGGAGCCAGATGGAGCAGCAGCGCAACCGGCGAGCAGCAGCAGAGGCGCGACGCGAGGAGGAGCGACGACGCAAAGAGGAGCGGCGACATGAGGAGGAGGCCCGAAGCAAGGCAGCGGAGAAGGCGCAAAGGGAGGCGGCGCTGAACAAGGCCATGATGCGGGAAGCATATGCCGCCCTGCAACGGCAGATGGAGGCCGCGCGGCGGGAAGCCGAAGCTCACGAGAGGATCGAGGAGGAGGCTCCGCCTCCTCCGAGGTTCCTCAAGGTGAGGACGGGTCTGTTTAGCGGACCGGCGGGGCAGCAGCATCCCAAACAGGGTGAGGAGGCACCCTTATGGGAACGCCGGCATCCCGAGCCACCGCCGCAGCCACAGAGCACACAACAACCAACGCCCCCGCAATCACCCCCACCAAAATCGCCACCGCCGAACGCACCGACACAACAGTCGTCGTCACGACAGGAGGAGGCACCGAAGGAGCCGCCACAGGAAGAGGCCCAGCAGCCCCAGTGGGGTGGTCCGGAGACCGCGGTGTGCGGGCCATTTGTGTCGCAAAACGTGCACACGGCGGTAAGGAATGGCATGATATGGCACCACCAAGTTATCCACATAACGTGGGCGTCGGGACCCGCACCATCGGAAGCGCAGGAGGAACGGAAGGTATGGGAGGAGGAACCGGCCACGCGAAGCAACGCGCGTGATCCACGACAGCACCGGAGGCAGGCAGAGGCCATGATGGCAGAGGAGACGGCGTCGGAGGAGCGGGAGCCAGCGGCAGCGAAGGCACCGGCTGCGACGGCGACAGAGGCACCGACAGCGGCAGCAACGGATGGGGCGGCAGCGACGGAAGAGGCGGCAGCGCCAGCGACGGCGACGGCAACGGAAATACCGGCAGCGGCGACGGAGGTACCGGCAGCGAACACGGAAGGTGAGAGGTGGTCCGTGGGTGTGGCCCTCACCTGCGAAAGACAAGCCTAGGCCTGTCCTAGTGCGACAATCGTCGTGCCCGGATCCCAGGGCTGAGGTCGCCCGGCCGCAGCTGCAGAGACAGCAGTCGGTGGAGGAGCCGACGGGGGAGAACGTCCGCTGGCGACATGTGGATGTTGAAGAATGGCCGGAGGCAGTGGCTCGGGCGGTGGAAGGCACACGCCGGATCGGTCGACGCGTAAAGCGTCTCGTGAGGGTGCGGTACCGGGTATCAGCATCGGCAAACCAGGTCGAGGTGTCCGTCGAGGTATAAAAGGGGGGAGGGAAAATTTGTGAATGAGATTAAAATGAATAAAGAATGAAGTACAACTTACCCCGGGGCATGGCAGCTTGGTGTCGGGATAGGCGTGGGGTTAACACACGAGGTACACAGAGCCCACGCGGGCAGCAACATAAAACTTACGCGAAAACGCGGCCGGCCAGCGTATACAATAGTTACCGCAAGCGGAAGCAAAACGTGAAAAAGGGGAGCGATCCGGCAACACGTGAAGAGGGTCTGGCAGCACGATCAGAGGCGCACATATCGTGCACCTATCGTGCACGCAAAGCGCGCACCTATCGTGCACGCGAAGCGCGCACCTACCGGGAGAATCATGCACGGGGCTGGTTCCGGAACTGCATCGGCAGACCCGATCCGATAGGTGGCGAACCGATCGGGCAGTGGAGGAACCAGTCCGGAACCAGCGTGAGTGCGCGCCCGCGCGCACGCTTGAATTCAAATGGGAAGGTGGCCGGAAGGAAAACGAAGGGAGTTTTCCTCTGGTAAAGAAAGGGGGAAGTGTGAGGAATGGAGTTTCCTCACAAGGGAACCAAGTAAGGGTTAAGACGAGAATTCACGGCGAATTCACAAGAGAGTGAGAGCCGGCCGGGAGCCGGGGTCCGTTAGAGTGGCAGGGGTCCAGTGCATGACCATATATGGGCATGAGATTATGCCTCCGGTACGAGCCCGTGGAGGGAGTCGGGAATGGAGGAGCCCGCAAGGAGCGGCGCTCACGTCAGGCTAGGAACGGCGGGAGCGGTCCGGCAGCGGTCCAGCGCATGTCCATGTATGGACATGAGATCGCGCCACCAGCCCGGTCCCGTTAAGAACGTGAGGGAATCAAGCGAAGAGGCCGATGGGAAATGACCAGCGGCGCACGGATTTACCGCTGTTGCTAGGCAGAGGCGCGGACGCTAGCGTCGAAGCTAGGGTATAAGAGGAGCCCGGCAGCAGTGAAGGAGACAGTCAGTGGAGTGCGAGCAACGAGGAAAGAGCGTGAACACAAGCGAGTGCGTGAGGACAACTGACAAGGAAAGTCAACGTGAGAGTCGAAGGAAGAACCAAAGTGACCCATCCAACAGGCAGCAGTACGACCCGGAAAAGGGGAACAAGGTCTGCGAGGTGCCAAAGGAAGGACGACAGGTACCGCTTCCGCAAAGGCGATCAAAAGCGACTCAGTGTGTGCGGAGTTGTGTGTGTAGATCAGGCGTGAGCCAGGTCGGACGCATAGCCACAGCACCAGCGAGGAGCCTGAGGCGAGAGCGAGAGAGCGTGTAAAACTGAAAAACGATCCATTGTTGTATAGAACGTAAGATCCCATAAGTATAAGATACCAATAAAACACCCAAAGCCAGTAATTAAACCCACCCGTGCCTTCTTTCGTGTCTGTGAGGCAACATACAAATTTGTTGCAACGAACCGTCGGCCGCTGAGCCAGCCTCGCTGATTTAGACGGACAGAAACAGTTCGTTACACCATATCTCAGCATAATATAGAACAAATTTCCTGGCGTGGTACAGATTCTAAGAAGTGTGTGAGAGGCATTCGCACCGCTTTATCGTTAAGAAGTAAGATTTACTATTACAGCTGGAATAATTTCTCAATTTTTAACAATTTCTTGTTGTCTACAGTTGCATTTAAACATAAGTTTGCCCCATAGGACGACTTCGACCGCACAACCCAGAAGTTCTTTCAATACGCGCAGGAGAGAAAGGCCAGAACAAAGAAATGTGACGAAAAAAATAGATTATGTTAGTATATAAATTCCGATGATCCTATTGGGCTTTGAGGTGGCTCAGAGGGGGCCTAGCTGAGGCCACCGGACGGGTCGCAGGTTGCGGATAGCGAACGGCCTACCCTAGTGGGTAGGTCAGCTGCGAATAAGCGGGCATCCCAAAGAATAGCAACTAAGTTGGCTCTGAGGGAGAGTACCGAAATAAGCAGTCCCGGACAGCCAGCGGGTGTTCGCGACGCAGCAACACTGACGATGCGCTTGTGGTGCCGCCTCTCATTAAGTAGCTCACACAATCCCATCCCTACATAATACCTACCCACATCCCAGCCCCAACACTCACCTCACACCGGGCCGGACTAAGGTGTCACTCGACCTGTGCCAAGAGTCAGCCTGGCTGGGGGCCCGGTATAAAACTAGCCCAGTCGTGAACGGAGAGCTCAGGGACTTGGCAGCCCCCTGTTCTAATTATGCCTTACCCGGGTAACGCAGGGCTCTGCCGGGGTGGACCGTTCCCCTTCTCTGCAGCTCGTGGGAACTATATGGAAAAATACGAAAATATAAGCAACAACAAAAACAAAAACGAGAGAGGCACTCCCCAAATGCCTGCAGGGAGAAATCCCAAGCGTGAGAAGGCAGCGGCCCAAAGGCCTGGCCCGATCCGCTCAGACGCAGGAAAGACCTGCACGGTGAAGGACGCGGGTATGAATCCGGGTGGGTCCCATCCCAAACCTGGGATGGGTGGAAAGCCAGCACCCAAAACTGATACCATGGTAGGGCAGCTAAGCAATATTGCGGCTGCTCAACCTTCCGGTGAAGCGACGGGTGATGACTTACCATCAACCAGTGCCCAAACCAGGAAATATAGCTATGCCGAAAAGAGGAGTGCTGGGCACATACTCCGTCGGCAGAACGCCAACCAGGAAGTCAGTCCAACAGCAGACTGGCTGAAAAAAGTGGAATGGGCCTCGGTGGTGTTGCCAAACTTCAGTGTGGAGCCACAAAAGGTGGCCGCACAACCGAAGAGGCAGCGCTCTCAAGAGACGCCCGGACCTGCCGCGAAGCGCTCCAGAGTGCTACCTAACGTATACTTCGCGAAGATTGCCAAGGAGAGGACGCTGATAGGCGTTCTCGACAACGGCAGCGCGGAGGGGAAAATACCTAGAAGCCAATGGAAGTGGGTGGAAGCGGCACTGGCCGACCGCTGCTTCGAGCTTTTCGAGAAGGATCCCGGGCCACCCCCAGTCTTCAAAGACATGGGATGGTTCCAGGGGAGCATTAAAGTGGTAGCCTGCGAAGATGAGCGCTCCGTGAATCTATACAAAGCTGCGGTGGCGCAAATCGGAGAGGTCTACGCTGGGGCGAAGCTCGTCGCTGTGGACTGGAGCGAGGTGCCCAGTAGACCAAGGGCCCGTAGTTGGGTGCCGGCCACCTTTAAGGAGCCCGAGCGGATCCTCACGATGTTGCAGTGATGCAACCCTACACTGCCAACCTCAGATTGGAAGGTGGTCAAAGTGGAGGCATCAAAGGGCCCCACAAATCTGGCAGTGGTAGTCCTAAATAAGGAATCGCTAGCCCCGATCGAGGCAGCCAAGGGAGAGCTCAACTTCCGGTTCAGCTCGGTGACCATGAAGGTCTACAAGTCGGATGCAGCGGCCGAGGCGCGTTCTGTCAACAACCCAGTTGAGCAGGACGTTGCCTCGGAGATCGAGGCACCCGAAGTAGACCCGGAGCCGGAGCCGGCCCTGGAGAGCTACTCCTCGGAGACGGAGCTGATGCTCGATTTTGAGGCGCTGTGTCGGGACGAGATCCTCGACGACTCTGACGCCGATATAACAGTGGTGGAGAATGACTCTAACGAAGTCTCTGAGGCTTCTGCAGATAAATCTCCACCACTGTAAAGCAGCATCCGCTGCCCTGATACTCCGCTTAGTCGCAAGCGGAGGGGACATAGTCCTAATCCAAGAGCCCTGGGTGGTAGGAGGCAGGGTCTGTGGATTAGCGACGAAGGACTACAAGCTGATTGTAGCCCAAACTAAAGGTAAAATTAGAACCTGCATACTAGCAAGAAAGCACCTAAATATCTTTCTGCTCCACAATTTTAGCAATGGCGACAACACGGCGGCTAGCCTAGAGCTACAAGGGACACGCCTGAACCTGGTCTACACCTACATGGCTCACGAGGAAAGCGATCCTCCCAGTGACCTCGTTCGCAAGATAGCCAGCGACAGCGAGAGGTCGGATACAAGCCTATTTATAGGCGATGCCAACGCTCACCACACCCAATGGGGGAGCTCGAATACAAATGTAAGGGGTGAGTCACTTTTCAGCTTCATCCTAAACTCCAACCTAATTATTGGTAATCGGGGTAATGACCCCACTTTCATCATAAAAAACCGTCAAGTGGTTATTGACCTCACTCTATTGTCTCACAAACTGTCAGACATAATGAAAAGTTGGAGAGTCCTAGAGGACCACTCCTTCTCCGACCACAGGTACATCGAGACAATCCTATCGCTCGAAAGCACCACACCACAGAAATGGAGGAATTACTCCCCCCCCTAGCCCCAAAATGCCCGGACAAACAAGACGATCTTAATCGTCTTGTGGACAATTTCACGGAAGCTTGCAATAAGGCCTTAATGGCAGCTTGCCCCCCAACCAAACCAAGAGGGAAAAAGAAACCCCCCTGGTGGTCTAAACATATAGATACCCTCCGGAAAGACTGCAGGACTCTCTTTAACAGAGCCAAAAGCAGCAGCGAGGAAGCGCACTGGGAAAATTACAAAAGTAAGCTAACCCTATACAATAAAGAAACAAGGAGAGCAAAAAGGGCCTCTTGGCAAAAATTTTGCTCCGAAATTGAAGACACGTCAGAAGCCGCAAGGCTACGCAAGATCCTGTCAAAAACATCCCCCTCGGTGGGATATCTCAAGAGAACGGATGGTACGTGGACAAACTCTAGTGAGGACTCCCTACACATTCTACTCGATACTCATTTTCCTGGGTGTACGACCATCGAGCCGGCAGACACCCCAAGTGAAGGCCCGGAAACCTCGATGGTGCACATCCTCACAAAACGGAATATTAGCTGGGCAGTAAACAGCTTTAAATCCTTCAAATCGCCTGGCCCGGACCAATTCATTCCGGCTCAGTTACAAAAAGCCAGGGACATGGCCATCAACTGGCTGCAAAGTATCTTCAGGAAGATACTGACAGTGGGAAAAATCAACCGAGCTTGGCTAAAGGCTAAAATAGTCTT